GTATTTAATGAAATCACGGGATTTGAGAATAAAACATGAAAATGGCATTGGAGTACATGATTAGCTAGGATCTAGAATGGCTTGGGGCTGGATTGGAAAGGCTTGATGGGCTGAATGATCTACTGCTTCCTTGTTCCTACGATTTGAACCTGTGAGGTTGTCCACCTGCACTGAGGAGTTTATGGAGTAAACCCATTAATGTTGTCATTAGTGCTTAACCAATCCAGTAAATCTCAACCATTTCCTTTGGCAGTCTCTTTGACCTCCTTCACTGGAAGCAGTGATCCCACACTCATCAAGAGAGACAAATTGATACAAACAAGCACAGCAGATGCGGCCAGTATTGGGGAAGCTGAATGGCTGTAAATAGCTACTCTTGTTATAAATGAATAGACAGTGGTAAGCTGTTGTCTGTGGGGGCTGATACGTCCATTGATGAGCCCTGATCATAGCTCTTTAATCATTCTATGGAATAAATTCTGTATTACAGAAATGACCAATGAGCACTTTCAAAAGTTGTTTCAATCATAGGGAAACATTCTTGATCTGTAAACTGGAATTAAGTTCACTATAATTAGTTTTAGTTTATTGGAGGCTAACAACAGCTTTCCCTTGTCATGCTGTAGTACCAATGTGGAGGTACGTGCACAGTCAGCTTGAGTTGGAGATTTCACACTACAATGTGCCCATTAGTCATTCCCCTTGCACTGGGTGCATCTGATCCCAGATTTAGCTACACGATACTATGAGGGACATTTAACTTCCACATACTGTAATGGTATATTGACTCAATATTCCACAGATAGTATTGAACAATTTGTACCAGCATTAAGTTAGAATTCAGCAACAAAACACTGCAAGTATTTTTACTAATTTACACCACAAATGCTGCTTTATGTCTGCTTAAAATCCACTATTAATGTCAAAGAACATAAATCTACCACCCATCAATGCCTCATCAAGAAACATCTTGTTATTATAATAACAGAATTGGCACAGACCCTTTCATTAAAAAAAGACAATGTTCAAAAGAGTGAATTTTAGGAATGTTTTCCCCGATGGATCTTATGGGGTATTTAAAGACTGAGGCATATTTTCCATCCACTATAAGCACTAATAATCAAAGCTGGCCCTACAAGTGTGACCAAGCTGTAGGAAAACTGGGACATGGTTTGTGGGAAGCAAAATCTCCTGCTAATTTTTCTAACTGCTTTTCACTTCTGAACCTTTGGCTAATTTTCACCTTCGTAACATTATTCTGTCTCCGTTCATCTGCTGGTGAAGGCCTTATTTATGTCTTTGTGACCTCAGGTCTTGACTGTTCCAATACACTTCCTACTGACCTTCCCACATTTTACCCTCTGTAAACTTCAGGTCATCCAAAACTCTGATCTTTGAATCTTGACTCACAGGATGCCTTGATCCCCATATTGTCCCTGTGCCTGCTGACCTACACTGATTCCTGATGAAACAATTTCTTGATTTTAAAATTCCTATCATGTTTTCAAATCCCTCCCTCTTATCCCTTTGAGCCCCACAGTGTTCCTAGATTGCCTCTAATTCTGACTTGTGCACCCCAATCATTATTGTATCACAGTCAGTGGCAGTGCTTTCAGTTGGCTAAGCCCCAAACTCTGAAATTTCCTCTCTACCACTCTATCTCATAATTTAAGATACTTGTTAAAACTCACCTCAATGACCATTTTTTTGGTCATTTAACCTAATATCTCCTTATGTGGCTCCTGTAAAACTGGGTGGGGCAATGGCCTAGTGGTATTATCACTAGACTTTTAATCCAGAGACCCAGGTAATGTTCTGGGAACCCACTTTCAAATCCAGGTGATAGAATTTGAATTCAATTTTTTAAAAAAAGTCTGTAATTGATCTAATGATGACCGTGAATTCATTGTTGATTCTTGGGGAAAATCCCATCTGGCTCACTAATGTCCTTAAGGAAGGAAGCTGCCATCCTTACCTGGTCTGGCCTCCATATGACTTCAGACCCACAGCAATATGGTTGACTCTTAAACTGCCCTCCTGGGCAATTAGGGATGGCCAATAAATGCTAGCCTACATCCTAACAGCAAATTGAAAAAATTGCCTTAAGACACTTCATCATGTTAAGGGTGCTATATGGACATAAGTTATTGTTGTCATAGCTTTTTATGCTGTTTATCGGTGTTGTTCTGCCTCGTGTGTTTTGTTTTGCTCATTTGCAGATTTATTTTTGTTCTTTTGGCAAGAGGGCTTCAGGGAATGTTTACTTGTAAATAAAAACAGATGAATATTGTCTGCAAACTTGACAGAAAGCTGACTGTAATTGAAGCAGTTACGAAAATTCAACCGAGCATAAGTGGTAGAAGGACAGTGAACTGGGGGGAAAAGGAGCTTTCACAATGAGAAACTGTCAGTTTAGGAAGTAGCCACCACTCTAACTGCACCAATTTGTTTTAGCACAAATTTAATATACCTTTAAGTAGATCTGCCCTTTTAAATTTTACCACCTTCAAGGACTGCATGTATACGGATTCCTTTTCACACCTGCCCCACCACCACTTCCATTACCCCCAATCCTGCCACATCCTTTAGTGAGTTCCTAGACCAACCCAACATGAGCCAAAAGATCTTTGAGAACAATTAATAAGACCAACCATGGGAAATTTCAGGAAAGATAGCCTGGCAAGAAATCAGCCTGCAGGAGTGCTGAGTGTCTGTCTGTGTGTTTCTATGTATAGAAGCGGTGGAGACAATGCTGTAAAGATCAACATTGTCATCGGTTTACTGAGTGTAATTTCGCAAGTACTTAACAGTCTAAAGTTTGGTGAAACACAACAAAATAACAAACTACAAATTAGTTCAGAGATGTGTCCATTAGAGTTTAAGTAATTGGGAAAAGAATAAGGCCATGTCTACCATAGTTAAATATTGGGAAGGCTGAGACCATCCAAAGGGAAGGTTTTGGTCCAGTGGTATTATTGCTGGACTGTTAATCCAGACACCCATGTAAGGTACTGGGGACCCAGCTTCAACTCCCACCATAGCAGACTGAACTCAATTAGAAAAATCTGGAATTAGGAGTCTAATAATTACCATGAACCCATTGTTGGAAAGATCCATCTGGTTCACTAATGCCCTTTAGGGAATGTCTGACCTATTTGTGACTCCAGACCCACAGCAATGTAGTTGACTCCTAACTGCCCTCTGGACAACAAATGCTGGCCTAGCTAGCAATACCCTCACCCTGTGAATGCACTTAAAACATAATCATCTGCAGACCCTGATACAATGTTTGTCCTGGCCATTGATTCCATCCAGTGTCTATGGGCCAGCCAGACTCTTTGCAACCTTGGTATGATTATTTGACCCTGGTAAATAGTTCATTCCCATTAGGCATTGTGCCCCTCTATGTTAAATTTGCACCCATTGCCTTTTTGACCCCAAAAAAACCCCAATCTGGCCTTGCAAACTATCACCATATCTCCAATTTTCTTCGCTGCTCTAAAACACCTGGGTCTCCCAAATCCATGCAAATATTTTCTAGAATTCCACCCTCCAATCAGATTTCCACCACTGCCACTGTGCTGAAACAACCTTTTCTCAAGGTTGCAAATGACATCCTCTGCAACTGTGACAAAATGTCAGCTATCAATTCCTTGTCCTGCCTGCAACCCGTTGAACACACCACCCTCTTATGCTCCTCCACCATTCGGTAACTAAAGAAGTAATGTTGTCATGATAGTGGCAAAATATGTTTCCCAAGGTCCTGCCATTCATCATGTATTCCCATACCTTGTCTGTACTGCTCAAGTGCATCACTTCACACTTATCCAGATTGAATGCCATTTACCACTGTCATTTCAATTCATACCTGTCTGGTAAGTGGCCCACATTGGACATAAAAGGTTGCCTGTGGTGTATCCAGTTTGGAGGGACAATGGGAACGGACTTAGAAAGACACAAACACACACACTCTCATACACACACACACACACACACACACACACACACACAGTCTCTCTTTCTCTCTCACACACACAGACTCCTTAAGGTTTCCTTAAGTGAAAGAAAGGAATTTTATTATTCACTACTCTCTAGAAAAATTAATAATTGTGACTTCAAACACTCCCATACACACACGCACACACATACACACTCTTACACACACGCACGTGCTCGCGCACACAGGCGCACACACTCTCTCTCAGACGCACGCAGACACACACACACTCTTACTCTTTCTAGAAAAATTAATAATTGTAAGAGTGTGTGTGTGTCTGCGTGCGTCTGAGAGAGAGTGTGTGTGCCTGTGTGCGCGAGCACGTGCGTGTGTGTAAGAGTGTGTGTATGTGTGTGCGTGTGTGTATGGGAGTGTTTGAAGTCACAATTATTAATTTTTCTAGAGAGTAGTGAATAATAAAGTTCCTTTCTTTCACTTAAGGAAACCTTGCAGTTGGCTCCTTAATTCGACAAGTACAACATGTTAATTGAAGTGTGCTAAAAATATTTATTGAGAACAACCTTTGGGGTTAAAAAGAAGACAGCTGACCTGCCCCTCTCAAAAATTTAAAGTCATTGTACGCCCAAAGAGCTGGTCTCTTATTAGAGAGAGAGATGACTGTGGCTTAATCTGAGGGTTACTACATCTCAGATGAGGGGTGAGGTTGAGAAGATGGTACCTTCATAGTAATCTCAGCTGGTACAGTAATTGAACCCATGTTGTTGGCATCACTCTGCATTGCAAGCCAATAGTCCAGCCAACTGAGCTAACCAACACCCCCCATCCACAGTACTCACATATGCACACAAATGTATTATGCTGTACCTTTACTGTGCCAACAGACATACAGAAAGGTTGAAGTATACATGACAACAACATACAAATGTTAGCCTGAGATCACACAATCAACAACGTTATCTGTTGCCCACATTTTAAAAAAATTTATTAATTGGAAATACAATTAGTCTCACTTAGATTTCTAACTTGCAACATGAAGCTGGTGATTAAAATGTTGGACAGGATGGCTTCAGAGTTGATATAATGCATCTCACAGCATCTTTATTATGATACACTTTGCTAAGTATATTTATTGCTTGGCTTAGTAAGTTTAGTTTATTTGATTTAATTCAATGTGCATTTAACGCTAGAACTTTTTGTTAGCACCTTGCTCATCTCACCTTGAGCAAAGCCCTGACATAACTGCTAGTATATTTTATATGTAAGATTCATTGTCATCATCTGAAAACTGAGAAAGACTATTGTAACATTATCTCAACAAGATCATACAAGAGAAGATTTAATTAAGGTACACTCCAGAATTTTTAAAGCGGAATGCTGAGGAATTTATATGCTTGGCATATGTTATAATTTGCTCAGTTTGCACAGTTTGACCTATGTCATTTGAGTTGAACAGCATTTGATGGAACAAGTAAAAAGTCTCCAGCTGTACTGTAAATACAGCTTTGATTCACTTTGATTTTGTATACCATTCAATAACATGAATTACAATTCAGGGTAAATGAAGGAAGTTGCTTTGAACTTCATTTTTCCCTTCATCTTTCTGAGTCAATGATGCTGTCAGGAGTTCCGAACTTCTGCTGCTCCTCAGTGTTTGGAGTCAGGCAATAGTTAACAAATTCTTGATGGGATCCATTCTGCTGGGTCTTAATTGTTCTCTTCGTCTCAGCTTCCTTTATTAAAGAAAACAACTTGATCAGTTGTAATTTGGAGCTAGGAAATCAAATGCAATATCCTGTCAATTTATTACACAGAAGCCAGGCTCCAAGTAATAGCTTTTAAACATTAGCTGCTTTTTATGAAATTAAACGGTTAGATATCCTTTAGAACCCACACAAGGATGGAGAGTTATTCCAATGGCAGTCTGCCCTAACCCCCACAGCTAATGATCATATGTGCCCCATGACTAATTAATATTTCACATTCTCCTATTGTGGTAATGTCAAGCCCAATACCCTTCACTTTAAATTTTGGCTGGTTGGAAAAGACAAAGAATGAAGTTTCACTCATGACCTCTTTGTCCAGTGGTTTTACTCACTCTCTCTCTCTCGGGATAACATCAGTTGAATTAAACAAGGAAAGCTAAATTAGATCTGTGGGTGAATTGAACTTATCTTAATTATCAGGACATTTTTGAGGTTTTGTTAAATGGTAGATGAAAACTTAAATCTTCTGTAAACACACCAACGTCAATTTTATTAGGGCTCCTCTCAGAGTTAACCCCCAGTCCCTTCGACGATTTACATTCAAAGGGTCTGGAAGTGATTCCGCTTTTGGCTTGCTTGTGTCTGCTAATTGAAAGCAGGTCATGCAGTGGAGTCTAGTACATTGCCATAAATTAATGAACAGGTAAACTGTGACTTTGAATATAAAGTACATCCATTGAGTGCTTGTACCCCGCACTCCCCAACATAATCCATACCAAGTTAAACTTTATAATGGACCTCAAGGTGGCTCTCTGCCTTTCTTCTGTTTGCTGCAATACTCTGACATGACTCCCCAGGATTCACACTGGAATGTTTATGCTCTTATATCATGGCACCTTCCAATCTGATAGCATTACTTTTTTTTAATGAGAAAGTGGACAATGTAAGAGATTCTCCACAAAGGGCCTGCTGTTGTTCAACATTTCTATTTCCTTTAGATGTGTACGTTGTAAATACCTACTGAGTTTGAAACGAAAGAGCAACTTGCATTTATATAGCCTCTTTCACAACCTCTAGGCATTCTTTACAGTCAACAAAGTGCTCTTGGAAGTGTAATCATCGTTGTAGGCAAACGTGGCAGCCAATTTGCACACAGCAAGCTCCCACAAGCTGTAATGAGAGTATTATGATCTGATTTAATGATTTTGGGTGAGCGAGGATGATTGACCAAGACACTAGAGAGGGCTCTCCTGCTCTTTGTATTGTGTCATATCAGATTTCACATTCAACTAAAAAAGACAGATGAGGCATTGGTTTGAAATCTTGACGAAAAGACAGTACTGCAACAATGTGGGACTCGCAGTACTGCACTGGAGCATCTGCCTTCAGATTCTGGAGTGGGACTTAATGCTTCTGACTTAAAGTTATGAGATGCAAGAAAGAAAGCTGACTGTGTACCCATTATATACAAATCAACAGAGAGTTAAATTGGGCAAAGTGCGAAACAACTACTTGATGAAATTTTACCTGACCAGTATATTAGCTTAGAGTGACCCTGCTGGCTCTAGTTATAAACACTTGAAGAAGCAAAGAAAGTCTGAGGGAAGCAGGAGTTACAAAGGATAGAATGCAGCAGCAGCAATGTGAGGGGTTTGAATATCAGTGAGGATGCAAATTGAGGAAACTGGGCAGATTTTGGTGGCAAAGAAGAACAAGAAACGAAAGATTTATGAAGCATTGTAATGTTGACAAAATATTATATTTTGTGTAGTTATATTGCTAGTTTTTTTGGTCCCCTGAAAACTATTACACTATCTTTGTCATCTGTGCAGCTTTTAGCAATGATAAATGAGAATTTTTCTTCCCAACAAGTAGACTTGTGTATGGTGATTAACAAAGCACATGGAATGTAAGACTTATGAAAGCATCCACAATAATTAGATTTGAAAGGGAATTAGATTGGTACATGAAAAAGGGACATATCAAAGGATATTAGGAGAGTGGGATTAAACTAGACAGCTCAAGTGGAGTAAAACACCAGCAAATGCACCAAATAGTTTGTTTCCACAGCCTATCATTTTCTGATCTCCTCAGTGAGGTGCAATACTCAGATGCTCTTTAGTCATTTTCAAATCGATTGCCTGTGTGCCAATTCAGCACTAGGTTCCTTAATTGCCCCTTTTGAAGTTCTTGGCATGGTCGATCACTGTGCTAAACATTAAGGCATTAAAGATTTCAATGAAAATTATGCCTGGGCAACATCAGACATGTGCGGCAGTAGCGCATGAGTCTAAACACGGGAATTTACAGGGTGTGAAAGGAAATGGGAAGGATGCATGCATAATCCCGTAAGAAATATTCATCCAGTTCTCAATGAACAGGGCCCTTTCAGCAGTAATGTTTACAGATTACCAAGGCAAGCCAGTCAAAATGTAGCGTTTGTGCCGCAGAAAAATAAACGAATAGATATGCAGGGAAAGCACTGGATAAATGATTCTGACATCCAGGCATGTGATGTTGACATGAGAATGTCATACAATGTTCCAGTGGTTGAATTTGGAGATGCGAAAGTACATGAAAATAGGTTGCATGCTCTGATCTCAGAGTGCACAGATTGCCAGGAAATGTGGTAGGTGAGGGGATTTATGTGTTTATTGGTTCTTGACAAGGAGCTCTGAAACTGTTCCTCGAGACACTTTTACCAAGGTGAAATTACTTGCACTGTAAATGGCTCCTCCACAATTGAAAACACTTCATTCATCCTGACCTGCTGGGATTAGGAGACCTCCTATCAGCTTAGCTGTACACAGTAGACACAGAGACATTTGTACAATTGAACTCCATTCTGTATTTTCTACATGTTACCTACTTTATTCTCTAATGCTGCACTTAAGCTCCCTCTCTTCAAAACTGGACCAACCTGAACTCAACGATTTCTGTTCTTTGTGTACCTTTCCAGCTTGAAATGAGTTTATTCCTTTTTTTTGGTACATTCATGGGCTGTTAGTATCTAGACCAGCATTTGTTGTCCATCCCTAGTTCCTAGGAGAAGGTGATGGTGAGCTGCCTTCTTGAACTGTTACAGTCCTTCTGATTTGAGGTACACTGACAATACTGTTAGGGAGGTGTTTCTAGGATTTTGACTCAGTGACACTGAATGAGTGGTGATGTATGTGGTAGGAAGGGAAACTTGAAGTGGGTGGTGTTCCTGTGTATCTGCTGCCCTTGTCATTTTAGGAGCTGGAGGTCGCATGTTCAGAAGGTGGTGTCAAGAGACTCTTGGTGAGTTGTTAGCGAGTCCATCAAACAGGAACCAGAAAGATTATTAACATGACAATTGACCAATAATACCTGCTGACCCCGCAATTGTATCACTAAAAGAAAGAATGGACAATAGTTCAAAATGCAAACTAGTTAATCATTAGTAACAATGAATACATTGTGGATTTCAGAATTCCTAGGTACTTCTCCAAGCAGCTAGTCTTGATGTATTGGATCTGACATTAATTGGCAGCAGACAGTTCCATCATTGGAGAGCTGTTACAGTTAAACTCAAGTCTATTCTCAGGATTCATGTGTAACAGAAGCAGAAACTTTGTTTGCTTTACCTGACTTCCCGAACACTGATAAATGTCCTGACTAATTTTTAGTCATTCAACTCCAACACTGGTTGCAATCAGTAACCTCAACAAAGTGTAGGGTCAGACCTGCTTAACACAAAACCAAGTGAGAGCTAAAGTTACCACAGTCCTACTTTCTCATCAGAGGAACAACTGGTGGTTGTCGTGCCTGAGGATCACCACACACCAGACATGGGGAGAAGGTGAGTCCCTCATTGAAACCTCAGCCACAATTGAACCCATGCTGCTGGTATCAATCTGCATCTGAGAAAAACCAGCTGCCCAGCCAACTGAGCTAACCAGCCCTCCACACAACCAAGCTCACTACATCTCCACACAGCTTCACTTTGTATTTTTAATCATTTATGCAAATGGCTGTTACACTTCCCACACATCGTAAAAACTATTTGGTCAGATGGGAGACAATAACAACATCTTCAACTAAAAAATTGCATATTGAAGTTTTATGCTTGAAAGTAATATTGGATCCAATCAGAGATTTTCTAATACTTTTGAAACTTGAATCAGTGACATTTTTACATATTACATCACAAAGCAAACCCACTGCCTCACATCGCCAGGGACCCAGGTTCGATTCCACCCTCAGGAAGCTGTCTGCACATCCTCCCCACGTCTGTGTGGGTTTCCACCAGGTGCTTGAGTTTCCTCCCACAGTCCAAAGATGGGCAGGTTAGAGGGGGATTTGCCATGCAAAATTGCCCATAGTGTGCACACTAAGTGGGTTAGCCATGGGAAATGCAGGGTTACAGGGATAGGGTAGGGGGTGGGTCTGGATGGGAGGCTCTCTGGATGGATGGTGCGGACATAATGGGCCAAATGGCCTGCTTCCATGCTGTAGAGATTCTGTGAAATAGTTCCAGTTGGGAATAAAATGTTATGGTGTTTAAATGACTGTGCCCTACCTAGGAATAACATGATGGCAAATGTGTTGTCTCCTTATCTTTACCCGAAACACTACCTAGGTAGTGTCTCCCACCCATCCTCCTCCTCTAACCAAAAAAAAAGGTTCTGAGCGCTGATTTGGTAAGGCTACTAGTATTTTTTTTTATAATTTGTCTGTTTGGGAATTCAGAACAGTGGGAATGGATATTAGGGCAGATGTATGCTCCTCCTGTAGAACGTGGGAGGTAAGGGTCACCACTAGTGTCCCCACTGACTTCATCTGCGGGAAGTGCACCCAACTCCAGCTCCTCGGAAACCGTGTTAGGGAACTGGAGCTGGAGCTGGAGCTGGATGAACTTCGGATCATTCGGGAGGCTGAGGGGGTAATTGAGAGGAGTTACAGGGAGGTAGTCACACCTCAGGTACAGGAAAAAAGTAGATGGTTACAGTCAGGGGACGGAAAGGGAACAGGCAGACAGTGCAGGGATCCCCTGTGGCCGTTCC